CAAAGAAAAGCCACAGGCACTGGTTGTTGGGAGAGAAATCACGGGGAGGAGGTTAGAGGGCACATGCATGCAGCCAGGGACCCATGGAGATGTGAAGTACTGACACTCCCTGCTAGAGACGGGCACGCTGGAGTCTCCATATGGGGGAAGAAGGGAAGGCCAATTGGTCATTCCCTTCCCTCCCCATCCAGTCTTGCTCCACTTCAAGAAGTGCTGTCCTAGAATTCTTCAGTGGATTGGTTACAGTGGCTTGAGGAGAGTGGAAATCCAACAGGAAGTCAACCAAGGATAAATAGAAGTTATGTCCCAGGCACTGAGGGCCACGCTGAAGGAGCCATTGCCTATTGTATAATGTCTATTGGGTGGTGGCTGTGTGACATGCCTTGTGTTAAAAGCTGCCTATGGATTAGCTTTCTTTTTTAAAAAAAAATATATATATATTTTATTGATTTTTTACAGAGAAGAATAGAGAGAAACATCCATGAGAGAGAAACATCAATCAGCTGCCTCCTGCACACCCCCAACTGGGGATGTGCCCTCAACCAAGGTACATGCCCTTGACCGGAACCAAACCCGGGACCCTTCAGTCTGCAGGCCGACGCTCTATCCATTGAGCCAAACCAGTTACGGCTGGATTAGCTTTCTTAATCCTCTCCCCTGGCCGTCTGAATCCAGACCCCCCTGTATGCCTCCCTCTGTAATGAGGTGTATCAGTCAGAGTTCACTTGGAGGAGCAGAGCCACCATTCACATTGCAGGAAGAAGAAAGTTATTAGGAATGAGACGACCCAAAGGTGGGAGGAGCTGGGGAAGAGCAGGTCTAACAGTGGTTCTCAACCTTCCTAATGCTGCGACCCTTTAATACAGTTCCTCATGTTGTGGTGACCCCCAATTTCATTGTTACAAATTGAACATAATTAAAGCATAGTGATTAATCACAAAAACGATATATAATTATATATGTGTTTTCCGATGGTCTTAGACCAGTGGTCGGCAAACTGTGGCTCGCGAGCCGCATGTGGCTCTTTGGCCCCTTGAGTGTGGCTCTTCCACAAAATTCCGACTTCTGTGCACGGGCCACGAAGTTTCAATTGCACTGGACATGCGCACTCGCACATGGTATTTTGTAGAAGAGCCACACTCAAGGGGCCAAAGAGCCGCATGTGGCTCGCCAGCTGCAGTTTGCTGACCACTGTCTTAGGCGACCCCTGTGAAAGGGTCGTTCGACCCCCAAAGGGGTCGCGACCCACAGGTTGAGAACCGCTGGTCTAGAAGGAATTGTGAGATGATCGCAGAGGAATCCCTGTGGCCTTGAGGACTAGCTAGTGTCTATCTGTGGGCACATCTGTCTGTCACAGTATCTGACTATGGAGTTGCTGATGCTTCCATCTGCTTTGCAAATTTCACACTAGGTCCTCTTTTGGCCAACTCTAACTCACAGCCCCGTCAGGAGGGGATTCCAGGAGTGTACTTCCCAGCTTCACCAACTTGAGTCAGCATAGTCCAGCACATCAAGATGTCCTTGATGTAGAAAAAATGGAACTGACAGGATGTCCAAGCAGAAGAAGAAAGTCAAGGTTACATTTGTGGGTATTTATCTCCCCATTTTTAATGGCTGCATAAGCATTTTTGTAATATAAGTCGCATTTTATTTGTCACAATAGCACTTAAAAAGCATTTGAAAATAGTAATGCCTTCAGAGCTGCACCCCAAGGACTAAGCAGAGTGAATGGTGCATAGTAGATGCTCAGTAAATATTGAATGACGGAATGGATACCGAGTGGCTAGAGTTTATGTAGGGCAGGGAGCTCTTACTCATACACTCCAGCAGATAACCTGACAATCACCCAGGAGCAAAAAGTGGCCTCATCCCTCCAAGCAACTGGGACATAATTCTTCTGCTCACCAAAATGCCACTACTTTCTGTCTCTGGCCAACACCTAAGGTGGGATGAAAACACCCTGTTTACTACTTCTAGGAGGAACTGATCACCACCTTTTTTAGATGTCGACCTTGCTCACAAGGATCCCTTTATAGCCCTCCTTCCTGGTGCACAAGGGTGGGGACCTAATACTCATGTTTGTTCTCTGAGACCCTATCTTTTGGGCACAGCTGGGCCTATCAGGTCCTTTCTTCTGGGAATTTGGAATTAAGACCAGAAAGATATTGAATTTTTATGCATGGTATAACAGAATAAAGCAAGCATAAAGAAATAAAGGGGATAGAAGAGTCATCATTAGTATTGAGATAACTGACAGGCAATTTAGGCAAAAGACATTTTTGTTTCTTACGTTACACTATACATAAAAAAAAAACTGAGAGCTTTTAGGAGCAAGAAACAGAGAGAAAATATTCACAAAGGACTCATATGCAACATATATAATGAACAATAACAATAAGTAAAAGACAGCCAGTAGAAAAATGGGCATAGGACTTAAACAGGCCCTTCTCAACAGAGGTTTCTAAAATAAACATATGAAAAGGTGTTTTACTTCATTAGTCATCAGGAAAATGCAAACTAAAACTATAATAAGACACTATTACATACAGCAGAATGAAAAAAACAACAACACGAAAATACCAACTGTTGGTAAGAATGTGTAACAACCAGAGCTTGTGCTCACTTATTGCTGGTGGCAGTGTCAACAGGTACAATCAAACACTGTGGACCTATTTATTATTTAGGAATACTTACTAAAACAGAACATGCAAATAGCCTATCACATAGCTGTTGGTATCATAAGTATTTACCCAAAAGAACTGCATAATTAACTTTACTAAAACACATATTCAAGAACATTCATAGTAATGCTATTCATAATAGCCCAAATCTAGAAATTCTCAAATGTCCGCCAGTAATAAAATGGATAAAATACATTGCGGTAGAGTGACATAGTGAAATACTGCACAGCACTGAGAATGAATGGACTACAGCTACAATCTCACAGATATTATGTTGAATGAAATTAGTACTTATTATATAATTTCATTTATATATAGAACAGGCAAAACTAAAGTCTGCTGTTCGAACTCAGGCTATTGTTTTCCTTTGGGGCAGTAGTAACTGGCATGAGAAATGGATTCTGGGGATGCTGGTAATGCGCTCTTTCTTTATCTGAATCTAGTAACAAGGATATATTCAGTTTTGTGAAAATTTTCATTAAACTGTAAACTTACAATACATGCTTTTTTCTTCACTACATACTATACATACATTCACTAATGTTTTGTAAAAATAATAACTTTTAGGAGCTTCAACTTTTAGGGGCAGGTTAGTTGCCTGTCTGCGGATAAACCTGCTGACAACTTCCTCCTTTAGCCTTCACAGAGACCCTGCGGGCAATGAAGCAGCGAGAGCTCGAGGGCCCAGAGAACCTCTCAAACATTTTTTTGGATGAATGTTTTCCCAATCTAAGTTTACATAGACAAGAAATGTAATTTATTACTTTTTTTTATAATCCTCACCCGAGGATATTTTTTTATTGATTTTTAGAGAGTGGAAGGGAAGGGAAGAGACAGAGAAAAACATCGATGTGAGAGACACATGAGTTAGTTGTCTCCTGAACATGCCCCGACCAGGGCCAGGGGATCCAGCCTGCATTGAGCCTGCAACCAAGGTACATGCCCTTGACTGAAATCGAACCTGGGGTCCTTCAATCCACAGGCCAACACTCTATCCACTGAGCAAAACTGGCCAGGGCAAGTAATATTTTGACACAGAGGTGGCTGTGGGAGTAGGGATGAAACAGACTTTAGCTGTTCCAATATTCATTAGTACTCCACCCAGGTTATCCTAAATAAATGTACAATCTATTTTTTAAAAATAATGTTTAATATACAAACGTCACTTCGACCATTATATAAACATCAATAGAGGGAAAAGGGCTTGTGCTTGCTATGCAAACAGCCTCAAGACAGGTGTCCCAGGCATCCACCCTCCCCACCCCCTCGCAAGCAGGTCTCTGCTGCCTAAAAGCTTCCACCTCCAAGAGTGCTGCCTGAATGCGGTGTTGCCTGTTGACTCTCGAGGTTAAAGCGCAGAAGGTGGAAGCACCCCCTGACGAGCCATAAATCTGAGGTCGTTGGGACGTTTGGGGGTGGCAGGGCGAAGCCAGTCAGGGCCGCACTCAGAGCAGCAGCTCAGAACTGTCCCCGCTCCCCTGCAAAGCAGTTCTCTGTCGACAGCAGGACTCGTTTCATACACCAGCGTGAGTCCCTCTGTCCCCGGCTCTTCCTTTTACAAATCCCATTCGGAATCCCATTCACCCTCACCCCTCATCCCCACCCCGCACGTCACCCCCACCCCCCCACCCCCCGCAATTGTTCCCCCCCACAGAACCCAATCTACCAAGTTTAAACCAGTTCCAGTCACTTCCAAGCCTCCACCCACTTTATCCTAATGGGATTTTTGGCTTCTACGCCAATCGGTTGAGCAAACGTTTATTTATTCAAGAGACAAAGTTAAGAGGTGGGATGTAGTTGAACTCATTTGTTGATTTATTCCATAAAGTGCCAGCATTGTGCTGCCGCGTTACAGGGAATAGGGAAAAAGTTAATTTGTGTAAATTATTAGATTGCATCATTTTCCTACTTAAAACCGTCCAGTTTCATCCCATTTTAGAATAAAAGCCAGACCACAAACACCTGGAAAAAAGAAACCTCGTTTAAAATTACAATTACTCTGATTTGTCTTTTGTTATGAAAATTATTTTTAAGTTATACAAAAATGCAAAGGCGTTGGAATTGTTATGTCTCTTTTAAAGTGTTGTTTTCCAATAAGCAAATGCAAAGGGGTTAATCACGCCCTTGGTATCAGCAAACTTTCCCGCATCCCAAAACCGAACTTGACTTTCTCACAACGCTTCTCGACAAACATCGCGAGAAGAGAGCGGTCCCTTTGGCCCCACCCTCTCAGTCAGCTCAACCCCGCCCACTTCCTGCCGGGCGATCTCTGACGTCAGAGGTGCGCTGTTGTCACGGACGACAGTACTGGGAGCGGAAGTGCTCTTGGCGGAAGTGCTCTTGGCGGAAGTGCTGGTTGCGCGAATCGTGGGTGGGATGGCCGCAGGCAGGCGCTTTCTAAGGCTGTTGCGAGCCCCCTGCAGTTCCATGGCTCAGAGCCCCCTCCCGGGCGTGCCCCCCTCCAAGGGCCTGCACGCGGGGCACGGGCCCCGAAGGCTCTCCATCGAAGGCAACATTGGTAAGGGCCGGAAAGGGGCTGCCAAGCCTTGGCCTCCGCTAAGCAGGTGTCTGAGGGGCTGTGAAAGGGAGCTGGGCCCGGAACCCCTTCCCTACCCCCTTCTCTCCCGGTCAGTGCAGCGAGGCTGCTAGTTCTGAGGACCATTCCCCTCCCAAAATGCACTGCGAATCCATCCCTCTCTGGTTTTTAGGACGTCATTCCTCAGTACTCACTCACAGGGACATAAAAGCCACGCAGTCTGTTGGTAGGACAAGAGTTCAACCAGCTTGTTATGGATAAATCTAAATGGAAGCGACAAGGCGCTTGGTGTGGTTTCTTTGTCCCAAGAGAGTTGCTAAATTTAGGGGGAGGAAAAAGGATGCTCATTTAAAACAGGATTTCAGATGAGTAATTTCTTAGTGCCGTTGGGTGCCATGCAATATTTGGGGCATACACTAAAAATACCATTTATTATTTATCTATAACTGTACTTGACCTGGCTACTCTACCCTAAGAGAGTTTTTAAACTTCAGGCATTCAGATACCACTTGCACTATTTTTGTCATGTTTCTTTGCTAGTCCCACTATAATTTATTAATGTTTTTCTTAGAAGAGACTCGCTTTTTAAACTTAAAAACATCTATTAAAAACTGTTACAAGAACAAATAGAAGCCCCGTGTCTTAAATAAAAAGCAATTGAAAAGAGAATGCAAGCAAAACATTTTAATTTAATGTTACTAAGTTCTGCTTTATACTTTTACCTGATAAGGTGATGAACTCTCAAAGAGGATTAGCAATGTTGAGGGTCAAAGGACATGCTAGCAGTAAACTGAGAATTTCTCATTTTATTCATTCAACAAATAACCTTTTGAGCCAGATCCACAGGTCAGCACGGTTCTTGGCCCTGAGGCTACAGCAGTGAGCAGAACAAATATCTCTGCTCTCAAGTCAGGAGAGATAGACAATAAAATAAATTAAGCAAAGTAAACCATATGTTAGGTAGTAATGAGTGTGATGAAGAAAATTCAGCGGTGAGGGATTGAGGGAAGTTGCAATATTAAATAGGGTGATCAAGACGGTCAAGATTGGGAAGGTGACATTTGAGCAAAAACCTGAAGGCGAGGTAGTGATCCATGTGGAGAACTGGGAGAACTTTTCAGGCAGAGAGAAGACCAAGTGCAAAGGCCCTGAGATGGAAAATGTATTCAGGGAACAGGAGGGAAGTCATTGTGGCAGGAATGGAGTGAGCAAGAGGGAGAGGGGTGCAATAAGGTTAGAAGATAAGGGATGGCCAGATTGTTTATAAGCCTTGTAGTCCATGATGGGAAACTATTGGAAGGTTTCATGATCAGTCAAGTGATATGATCTGACTTAAATTATAAAATGATCACTTTGACACCTATGTTGAAGGTAGAATGTATCAGGAAGTTATTGTAGTGATGAGTTCCTGTGAGTTGGACCAGGGTGGGAAGTGATTGGATTTTAGTTACATTTTAAGGTAGAGCTAACTAGATTTGTTAAAAGATGTGGAATGAGATAAAGAGAGGGGTCAGTAATGACTCCAGTCATTTTGGCCTGAGTAACTTGAAAGATGGAGTTCTGAATTTTCTTAAATGGGGCAGAATGGGAAGAACATATTTGGGGCAGGGGATGGTTTCAAGATTTTGTTTTTAGGCATGTTAGTTTTTATATGGTTATTAGATATCTATGTGGAGACATGGAGATGTTGAATAGGCAATTGACTGTATGAGCCCAGAGTGCAGAGTCTCCCTGGACTGGAGTTGTAAATGTAGATGGTATTTAAAGCCAGGCGTCTATGTATGTTGATGGAAAGGACTAACCCCTGGGGCAAATGTTAAAGAGATTGAGGAGATGGGAAAGGAACTAGCAAAATAGACTGAGAAGGAATGACCACTGGAAAACCAAAAGAGAATGATATCTTCTGATCCAGCTGAAGAACCTCTTTGGGGAAGAGAAAAATCAACTGTGTAGTGCTCTTTAATGGAGCTCTTTGGTGAACTTGAACAGCTGTTGGGAGCAATAAGAGTGAAAGTCTGATTGGCGTAGGTTCAAGGAGCATAGGAGGTAAGGAATTGGAGACAGCAAGGTAAGCAATGGTCTGAAAGTTTTCCTAGAAAGGGAAGACATTGGGTGCTAACTGAAATGGAAAGACGGTTTGAGACAGTTTTTATTTTTTGGTTTTTGTAAGAGAAATTAGAAATAGTCTCCAAGAGAGAGACAAAAATGGTGAAATAGAAGAGAGGATAGAATTGCTGGAGTGATGTTAGTTAGCAAGAAGGAGTGGAATCTATAGACCAAGAAGAGCAAATTTTGGTCTTAACTAGGAGCACAGTTTATTTCTAATAATGAGGAGCATGGCAACTAAATGAGTCCTGACTTGAGTGAGTAAAAGGGAGAAATGTAGAATTTCGGGGTAGCATTAAGGACCCACTTGGACTTAGTTGTCATGAATTTAAAGTGAGGCCAGTCACCATGGCTGTGTGTGTTTCTCCGGTCAAATCAGAAACACTGAGAGGAATGAGAAGGGAGGGTCCTGCTTGTCTGCCTGATGGTGTATAAAGCTGTTTTGTCTTGTACTTTGAGAAACATGCCCCCAAAGGAAGCTCTAGCCTTAGAGCCCAGAGAGGTACAAAGTACTTCACAAAGCAAGTACTTTGCACAGGCCATCAGGTTAGGTGTGAGCTGTCTTTCCCAATTTTCCTGACCTTTGCCTCTTAACCTTTCCAGATTGCTATGCTTCTTCCTTGCTTTTTCATGCAACCAAAGGTCACTGAATGTCTACAGTGAAGGTGGACTCATGTGTGATACAGCTCCTGTCCTGTAAGGAGCTCACGGCCAAGTGGAAGAAGCAGACTTTTAAACATGATTTATATACCATGTGATGAGTGCCATGTTTGGGCAGGGAAATTTGGAATTTCTGGGGTAAGAATCCCCAAGGGGGAGAAGAGGAAAGAGTGTTCCAGCCGTGGGAAATAACATTTGCTAAAGCAAAGCCTGAAGAAACATGAGGTTTTAATAACAGGGAAGTAGCTGGATGTGCCTGGAGTTTAAAGGGCCTGTGAGAGGATACAAGAGGTTGGAGGGGTAGCATTTGTCAGATTTTTGAACAGCCTTGTGGTCCATGCTAGGAGTTTCTCCTTTAGGTAGTGAGAGGCTACTGAAGACTTGAAGCTAGTATGTGTCAAGGCCAGATTAATTTAAAAAAGAAATTTGGCTGGAACGAGCAAATAGGAAGTCAGGCACATTCTTTGCATGTCTTGTTTGCTGCAGTGCCCACAATGCCTTGCTTCCAGTTGAATGGATAAATGGAAACAGTTTGGAGAAGATAAATTTTGTGGCTACCATAGTAGTTGGAGGGAGGAAAGTTGTAGGCCTGCACAGAAGGAATGGAGGGACAGAGAAGAAGTGATGATTTGAGAGAGATTTGGAAGTAGGATTGATAGGGCTTGGTGGCCGCTGGGAGGTAAGAGCTAAGGAGGCATAGAAAATGACAATGAGGTTTTATAATTTGGCCACTGACTAAAAACTGAGGATGGGAATAAAGGAAGAAGTCTGGGGAGGTAAGAGAGATGTCTTTTATATGAGATACCTCTGAGACATACAGAGATAGGTGTTCTGAGGTAGATGAGAATATGTGCCTGGAGTCAAGAGAGAGATGGGAGCTGAGATTTCATAGGTGGAGGTTGTTGACCTGGGGAGTTGTTGAAGCCTTGGAAGTGAATGTAGTTGCCCAAGGGAAGTGAATAATGAGACGGTGATTAGGGTTCTTTAGTCCGGCTCTCCCTAGTTGTATCACCCATTATTCTCCATCACCCCACACTGATGACTCTCTCCAGACAGAATTAGTCACTGCCTCCTCTGTGTGCTTTCAAAACATTTTGTACCCTGTAGCACTTGAGTTCTGTTGAGATTGTTTTCGCATTCAACATCTTCCCTGGGCTGGCACTTAGTGTCTTATTCATCTTTGTGTCATGAGCACCTAATCCCCTGCCTCATCCATTGTACTCATTCAGTGTTTACCAGATGCTTGAATCCTGTGCTGTGATATCCACATGGAAGTTAGTCATTGGTACCCACAAAGGAAGTATTTTAAACTGCTCATATAATCAAATCAAATAATTTTTTGGTTCTTTATCACAGGTGACATCTTTAAACAAATCAGAGAAAAAGTACCATTCAGGAAACCTGAACAGGGCAAGGTGAACGCCTGTCTTAAATGAAGTTAGATATCTTTCGAGTGGCTTTTCTTACAGGCCTGCTGCTCTAAGTCTTGTTATTCTGATCCTGTAGGTGTAGACAGCAGCATGTGTAGGGGAAATAGATAAGTAAAGTTACAATTAATGGCATCTAGTTTGAGTTGTGAAGCCATATGCCATGTGTGATTGAAAGTGAAAAGCCTGGGCCCTGTCTGGGTGGATCAGTTGGGTAGGTCATTGTGTCATACACTGAAAGGTTGCAGGCTCGATTCCTACTCAGGGTGTGTACAGCAAACCGGTATCTGTCTGTTTGTATCTCCCTCCATTCCTCTCTCTGAAAAATCAATAAAAACATATCCTCAGGTGAGAATTTAAAAAAAAAAAGAAAAAGTAAAAAGCTTGATACTTAAAATCCCTTAAAAAATAAACTACCCAGCCTATTTATTAATTTATTATTATTATTATTAATCCTCACTTGAAGATATTTTTTCATTGACTTTTAGAGAGAGTGGAAGAGAGAAGGAAAGACAGAGAGAAATATTGATCTGAGAGAAATATACTGATTGGTTGCCTCCTTCACGCGCCCTGACCAGGGAAGAGCCTGCAACCACGGTATGTGCCCTTAACTGGAGTTGAACTCGGGATTCTTTGGTCTGCAGGCTGATGCTCTATCCACCCAAAGTGGCTAGGGCTAGCCTCTCTTTTTAAATATATTCATCACTAAAGTGATATATTGAATATATCAGTTATTTTATGACTATAAACCTAAATTGAAGAAAGGAGTGATATTTGAAATTTGTGAGT